TGTGTGTGTGTGTGCGTGCGTGTGTGTGTGTATGTGTATGTGTGTGTGGTGTAGTGTGCGCGCACACGTGTGCGAGCGTGCGTCACAGAGAATGAGAGATACAAAATATGCATACCACTTATTTGTGGACAATAGAACCTACCCTAACGGCCACCTGTCCAAGACAATCGCCTACACAAACAACCACCCCTACTCCCTTGCGTTTTAAAAATAATATTATAATATTATATCTAGATCTGCCACCATCAAAGAATTCCTCCTGCCCAAGACAATCACTATTATTCTCCTCGCGCGTGTGCGCGTGTCGACAAAGAATGGCTAGCCGGTTGTCTGTTGTAGTCTGATATTTCGCTATTTTGTTACGTTCGTGAATTATTACAGGAATGTATTTGTGTATGAATGTATGTGTGCTACCCGCCGTAAATCAAATAATATCCCCACAAGGAAAACCGGATTGATAACAATGTTTCACCCTACACCTGACCGGAGAGTGGTAACCGGTGTCAGTGGCGCAAATTTTCCCAATGTGGTGTGGGTGTCTTTTTACACACGCATCGGTATAAAGTAGATAATTTAGGAGGCAGGCTTCGACTCTGCCTGTCAGGGCCATCCCAGCTTAGAGGGAATCCACCAGAAATAATAATGATCGATATCATTTGTATAGCGCGAATCCCCGCTCAACAGCAAGCTCTATGCGCTTCACAATCTGTACTATTACCCCAGCAGACCGGAGAGCATTCTGAAACAAACACAACTCCCCGGGAAGCATACAGTGTAAGCAGTCAATTATAGGCACTAAAACACTAACTAAAATACTGAGATACGCAAAAAAAATCTTCCCCTCTTAAGAATCAAACACAGATCTCGGCAAAGCGCCAAACCGCAACAAGACAGACGCTAGTGTAGCCCGTGTAGCATCTATCTTTATTTAGTTGCATGTCTCCTTAACATGAATACTGCGCTGCAGCAAGAGCTGCTGCAATGACTGAGGTTTCGTTCACAAGCGTGAAGAAGCCGTGCTGCACTAGTCAAAGTCTTCAACAGAGCTTGTCAAACACTGTTCTATGGTCAGCGCCCATTTTTGCCACCTTTCAGACGGTAACCTTTCGTACCACCTTCCTACATGTATTTCCAAGCAGGGCATTGAACAGTACCCGCTACTACCCGAGTGACCCCCAACCACCACCAAAGTTACCAAATCGTCCATATAGTGTAGTGGGGGGAGATATCGCCCAGGTTGACAAGCAATGCACTGGTCTACAATATGCCCATTTCCCTCCCTGGAAAAAAACCCTTAAAAAACCCCTAAAAACTCGGGCAGGTCATCTAGCTCTTGATCAGTGCACCACCACCATCATCAGCTGTACGAAAAAAGGACTGAGCAGCTTGACTGGGTCGTGCTAACGTCAATCTTTACTTCACCTCAGCATTCTTCGCTACACCTCTCTAAGTCGTGTGAAAGTCACTTTTATTTCACCTTGTCCCTGAATTCTTCGGTACACGACCCACCTCCTGATCACTCTGTTCTTCGGTTACACCTCTCGGACACCTTTCACTGCAGCACATTCTCCAGTACACCTCGGTCACCATTCAAGCCAATTATTCGGTACGTCTCTCGCCCATGCGAAAGTAAAACTGTTTTTCCTTTTTCTTTTCTTTCTTTCTTTTTTTCCCCCCACAGCGTGCGGTTGGTCTTCTTTTTCTTTTTGCGATGCTCTATCTCCTCTCCTGACTTTTCGCTGACCCCATCTGATGACCCTTTTAGCATTGACAGTGATTTGAAAAAAGGATGGGATTAGGGTGAAAGGAGGGAGGGGGGGCGTGAAGCAAGAACTCTTTTCCGACCCACCAGCTGTTTCTACCTTGTCTTTTTCGAACATTACGATCGCTATTATCCTATCCATATACATCTTTATAAAACTTTAGAGAAAAAAAAATAATATCAAAAGAAAAAAATGCAACTGCAAATGATCCATCTGCTTTGATTCGTGTAGTTTTGTTGTTGTTGTTGTTTTTTGTTGTTGTTTTTTGTTGGGGGGG